ACATGCCGGACAACATGATTCATGCTTAGTAATAATTGTCTAGATCGAAGTGTGTTTTTATGTATGCAGGATTAACTACGATAGCAAGGCATAAAGCAAAATGAAGTCCCGAAGTCAAGAACGCGATTTCGTTGGGAGTTCAAGAGTTCATCGGAAGTCCGAACGTTCGTCAAAAGTTCTACCGGAATTGACCTAGAAGTCCTGAAGCTTGCCAAAGAAGCTCGTCGAAACTCGCCAAGAAGATCGTCGTAAAGTCCAGGAGCTTGTAGGGAGTCTGCCAGAACATTGCCGAGAGATCGTCGAAAGTTCGTCGGAAGATCGCCGGAAGAAACCAAACTTATTTAGCTTATTGTATGCCTTAAATTTCGTAGTTAGCACATAATTGGAGTGTGACTTGGGAGGTAATCCCATCAACTCTGTTAGAGGCCAACTGGGCCTAAAGTTAAGCTGGTTTGGGCCGGATTCAAAGCCCAACCAGCGGTGGCACTGCTTGGGAGACAGCATCCCAGGATTTCTGGGCGGTGGTACCCCCAGACTGGGCGGTGGTACCGCCGGCAGTGAATGCTGCCAGCGGTGATACCACCCAGTGGCAGACCAGGGACGGTAGTACCGCCCAGTGGCAGACCAACGGCGGTAGTACCTCCCAGTAACGACGGTGGTACCGCCAGTACCCAGAAAACCTAGGATGAGACATTTTTAGGCTCCAAGTTTGAACCAACTTGAAACCTATAAATACCTCTCTCATCCCTGGTTAACTAATACAAGCACAAAGAATTTAAAAAGGGAAAAACGTTGTTGTAATCTCTTGTGAGAATCCTCCTCTTCTAGTCTAAGTGTTAGAATAGTTTGAGAAAGGAGTGAGTGCTTGTAAAGGTCATCTCCTAAACCTGTGAAAAGGAGAAGAGGGGTGTAAGAAGGATGTTGATCTTCGTATATTAAAGGAAGATCGATAGTGGATGCCGGTGGCTTCGACCGAAGAGGAATCGACGGAGTGAATGTAGGTCACGACGATCGAACCACTATAACTCGGTTTGCATTTACTTCTTGCAATTTACTTTTATAGCAAACTGTCTCTCCTCCTTACTGTGCTTTTACTACGCCTACACTCGTATACACTTTCAAGTTTCCGAAATCGGTTTTATCGTACGAAACGAAATTTCCGGAAGCGACATAATTTTTACCGCTGCAATAATTCACACCCCACCCCCCCTCTTACTGCCGCTCTTGATCCTAACACTGAGAACCATGAAGAAATTAAAATTTATTACTTGTAATGAGAAACAAACAAAAAAAAGGAAAAAAATCAGGGATTAATAATCAATCTTAAAAACCCACTACTAAGAGAAAAGAATAAAATATCCTTGTAACTAGAAAGATGATCAAAATAATATCTGCAGTCAAGTCTGGCACATCACACAGACTATGAGGTGATTTATGCTGAAAATGCTTCAGAATTTGATGAGTAGCCTTTGATTCTAGACTTGGAAAGGATCAAATGGCTTTTTTTTCCCTCAAGAATCAGATGCAATTATTATCATCCTATTGATCCTTGATCAGCTTACCAGACTAGCCATGGGAAGAGCTTTCTGCAATGCGATTTAATTGCAGTTGAAAAAACCCAGAATAAAGAATCAAGTGTATCTCAAAATAGATATATTATTCCTCAACAATGTCCTGAGAAAGAAAGAAGATGGTAGTGATGCAAGATAAACAATGACTGCAACTGACATGATCTTTACCGTGCATTGAGATATAAACAAATACAAGAGTTAGATTTTCTTTCTTGAGAGAATAAAACAACAGACAGACCAGTTGATAAAGTTAAAGACTAAAATGAATGCCTGTAAACAACAAAAACAGAAGTTGAGTTAATGTGATTCAGAGTGGCTAGAATAGGATTCTCCTGCTGAAGAGTCTCGTTGTAAAAAATAGACTATCATAGCAAAAACAATTCCAAGTGACATACGGTGTTTAGGCAGATTTGTCAAGGCAATTTCAACAGAGAATCTTATTAACTATCAGCAACATAATTAGGTTCATGCAGCATGTGATATATATTATTCACAAGCAAACTAAATGAAAATAATGTTAGGAGAAAAGATAGAATATTTTTCTTTCTCACCTTTGAGGTATGTCCCTGATGCTGTCTGAGGTTTTGGAATAAAAAATAACTCAGCACATCAATTGTTGCTACTGAATCTGTAAACTTTTTGAACACAAGCTTCCACGGTCCAAGATTGAGAATGTAAGACTGCTGGGCTGGATTCCTTTGTTTAGCATTTCTTCCACCAGGCCTTCAGCCTTTTCTATATTCCCCTTGTTACAGTACCCAGAAATTAGAGTGGTGTATGTGTAAGCATCAGGTGTCAGTCCTTTTTCAATCATTTCATCGAAGAGTTTATGAGCATCCTGAAGATCATCTATCTTGCAGTGCCAATCTATCAATGCTGTATAGCAAACGGAATCAGGCTTGACTTCCATATCTCTCATGCTATTTAACAATTTAGAGTACTTTTCTCTGACTTCAGTTTTCCATCTTTCCTTATCGTAGTCTGACCTTCCCTTTTGCAAAGTGTCTTTTAAATAACCATCCAACATTACTGTATAAGCAACAACATCAGGTTTGGTACCTCTTTGTATCATCTGAAAAAACAACTCACAGGCTTCTTGCAAGCAATTGGCTTTGCAATATCCTCTTATTAGTGTTGTATACAAGATGACATCGGGCGAAAGACCTTGGTGTACAAAATCATCAAACAAAATCTGAGCATTATGCATATCACGCACCTGACAATAAGCAGCAACAAGATTATAATAGCAAGGCTCATCAGGAGTAATTTGCATCTCTTGCATCAACCTGAAGGCAGCAGAAGCTCTTTCAATGTCCCCGTCTCTACAAAGTTCATTTATAAGCCTACAACGGGCAATCTCGTCTACAAGGGTCCCTTGCTTAGAGAACTTAACAAAGAGCATGTAAGCTTCTTTTGTGCAACCGGATTCCAAGTAACCACAAACCATTGAACTGAAAAGAACAGCACATTGTGCAATTTTCCTCTCTTCCAGTATTTTAAAAAGTATTTCTGCCTCCTTTAGCTTGCCACCTCTACATAGACCATCGATTGCCACACTATAGGTGAGAGCATTCGGCTCTATGCCTCTATCCAACATATAATCCAGTAGATCAAATGCCTCCTTAACAAATCCATTCCTACAAAACCCACTGGCTAATACATTGTAAGTAAAAAGATCAGGCTCAACATCCTTCTTCACCATATCAGCAAACACCTTCTGGGCATTATACATTTCTCCTTTGCGACAATAACCATTTATTAAATTTGTGTAGTGGATCTTGTCAGGATTCAACCCCTTACTCTTCATTTCTTTAAGCAATTCTGCTGCATCTCTCATTCTTCCCAGCTTGCAGTGTGCGATAATAATGATATCATACAGAACTTCATCAACATGAAGCCCTGAGTCCTTAAATTTCTGGAAGAACTCTATTGCTTCAAAATCCATACCCAATTTGCAGAAGCAATGAAGGAGAAAGCTTATAATGGTGGCATCTGGTTTGATGCTGTGAGTCACCATTTCCTCATACATATCCAGAGCTCTTATCAGATTGCCTGTGTCACAGTAACCTCGAATAAGAATTCCGTAGCTAAATGTATCTGGGCGCACACCTCTTTTTATCATCTCTTTTAAAAGCTTTTCAGCTTCCTGTAGTCTCCTACCTTGAGACAGTCCATCAATCACCTTATTATAGGTGAAAACATTCACATCAATACCATTTCTTACTGTTTCTTCAAGTATTGCATGACCCGCTTCATATCTCCCACAAGCGCACAAGCCTTCTATAACGTCTGAGTAGATGATTGGAGAAGGTTCTAGTCCAGATTCCTTGACTTCCTCCAAAATTTGAAGTGCATCATCTAACTTCCCTGCTTGAAAGAGAGCCTTGATCACCACTGAAGATAAATTAGCAGCTACACTAGTCCCTAATTTCTTCATCTGATCATAAACTGCCATTACAGTCTCCAAGTCGCCATCTTTAGTGATAAACTTCAGAAGAACGACACAGGACCATGCCGATGGGATAAACCCCGACGAATTCAGCTGGGAAAACATATACACAGCCTTTTCAGGCGTCAAACAGAATGTGCATGCTTCGATCATAGCATCGACTGCACACGTCAACAAGCTCGAATCGTTCAGTTGACGTGCAAGGGCATCAAAAAGGGCCGGTACTTCGAAACCATGCTCCCTGCCAGAAGATATCAAATCGCAGAAGAAAGTCACCAATTGTTTGTGACAATGGGACTCCGCTAAGATTCTGACGATCGCCGAGTAGTTGGAGTGGTCGTGGCGGAACCCGAGGGCCACGCTGTCCTTAAAGAACGCGAGGGCAACCTCGGGCTTCCTTCTCAGACACCGCAGCTTCCGCGCGACGCGAGAAGCCGACCCGCAGGAACTCTGCGAAAGGAGATGGGGAACGGGACGAGCCTTGGGTTCGACGACGCAACGTATGTCCTCATTCAAGGCATCGGCGGAGGAGAAGGCGGCGGCGAGAGGCAAACTGCCGCAGTTTGACAGACGAGTTAAGATCTTTACGGATCGAAGCGCCGGCCGCTTGAGGAGTGATTCGGCTCTACGGGATCGAAGCATCCAGGGGATCAAAGACCGAGACTTGGCTATGGATGACTCATGGTAGGGCTCCGGCGGGGATGGCAGACGGAGTGCGGGGATCGAATCGAGGAGGGAGATCGATAAGGCAAGGATTAGGGTTTGGATGGGGTTTTGGGGAGCCGTAAAGAAAAGAGTATCGGGAGTGGTGGATTTAGCTGTTTGGTGTTACATGGCTTTTCCGTGATGTCGGTTGACCGGTCTCCGTTGAATTTGACCGTTGACCGTAAATTAGCACACCAAATGGTTCTAATAGAGACAGACGAGATCGCTCCAAATTTAACTTGGTCTTCATCCTAATTCCTGGTCATAAGGCAAGCTCAGGCTTCGAAGGGCGTCGACGTTGTCCCCCTTCCTTTCCTCCCCACCTTCTGCATTCACGTAGACCAAACCATAGAAACCAAAGAACCAACCATTCGCAAAAGGCAAATCGATCTCCTCCGCTTTCCTCGTCTCTCTCTCTCTCTCTCCCTCTAAGAAATCAAGCACAACGTCCATGGTTTCAGTGAAATCATGGTGATCTTTTCAGTGTTAACGTTGTGCTCGTAGGTGATCCCGTCGTCGTTAGATGGGCAACACCTGCCGTGGCGGATCGTTAGTAGGAAGCAGGTACTTTCCCAGCTACAGCGGGCCTACCGACCGGTCCTCCTCTTGCTCGTCCTCCGACGGCACCCCTCGCTACCACCTGTCCTTCTCCCACCTCGACCCGGACGAGCCCCCGCAGCCGGCAGCAAAGCCCGATCGTGACGGCGCCATGCGGCGCAGCGGCGACGGCAGCGCCACCTGGGTCCTCGGCCATAGGACCGCCAACCTCCGCGACCTCTACACCCTCGGCCGCAAGTTGGGGCAGGGCCAGTTTGGCACTACGTACCTGTGCACCGAGGTGGCCACGGGGAGGGAGTACGCCTGCAAGTCCATCTCCAAGCGAAAGCTGATCGCCAAGGAGGACGTGGAGGACGTGAGGCGGGAGATCCAGATCATGCACCACCTGTCGGGGCACAAGAACGTGGTCACCATCAAGGGCGCGTACGAGGACCCACTGTACGTGCACATCGTGATGGAGCTGTGCGAGGGCGGGGAGCTCTTCGACCGCATCATACAGCGGGGGCACTACAGCGAGCTCAAGGCCGCCGAGCTGACCAGGATCATCGTCGGGGTCGTCGAGGCGTGCCACTCGCTGGGGGTTATGCACAGGGACCTCAAGCCAGAGAACTTCTTGCTGGCTAATAGGGACGACGACTCCTCGCTCAAGGCCATAGACTTTGGGCTCTCCGTCTTCTTCAAGCCCGGTAAGCAAGAACGCTTGATGATTGGTACTCGCCCTTTTGGAACTGGAGTCGAATGATCATTTTGATCTGTCTGATGTTGTCAATTATCTACCAGCATTGCTAATAATATCTGATTCTGCTGTTGTTGGTTCCATATCATCGCATGTTTAATTTCATTAAAATGTTCTGCGATCCTAATTTTTGGAATTCATGTTGTTGCAGTGTCTTGTTGATGCATAGCTCGGTAGCACTATATGCATAGCTCAGTAGGAATAATCAAACACCTCTGATATGCCTTCAGTAAATTTACTGTTCCCGGTGGCAGTGGCAACATGGCTCGAATAAGCTACTGGATATTTCGTTTGCTGAAACACCATTAATTGTTTTGTTGTGTGCATAATGCGGTACTGAATTGCTAGAAATGGTTAGCATAGTCTTGAGATCCTTTGAATCTGCATCACCAAATACAAAATTTACTTAACAATCCTCATTTAACTGGATATTGCTTGAAGCATTTAGAATGACTCTTACGCCTCATCTACTGCATCGTAGAATTCCTTACGAGGCCAGATTTCTTTGTTTTTCTTCATCCAGAGAGGGGCTAAGCCTAAAAATGATAAATTGACACAGCACAATCATGAACCCTTCTATAATTGACTAGGAATTAATCCGAGCAGATTTCTTGCCCTTTTCATATATATATTTTCCTCCAAGCTTATTTCAGATGCCATTAATCTGTTTTCTTGCTGATGCGATCCATGACTATAAGCCGAAGGTTGAGTTCTATTACTATATCTTCTATTGGTTATACAGGCAAATGATGTTGTTCTTAATTTAGGTTCTATCAACATTAACTTGGTTCTCTTGCAATTTCAGGCCAGATCTTTACAGACGTTGTTGGCAGTCCATATTATGTAGCTCCTGAGGTACTATGCAAGCACTACGGACCAGAAGCTGATGTCTGGACAGCTGGGGTGATACTATACATATTGTTGAGTGGGGTGCCACCCTTTTGGGCAGGTATAGTTCTTATTTGTGCTTTTACAAAATTTTGTGAATTCCTAGGACTGAATTGTGCCTGTTTTTCAGAAACACAACAAGGAATATTTGATGCAGTTTTGAAGGGAGTCATTGACTTTGACTCAGAACCATGGCCAATGATCTCTGATAGTGCAAAGGACCTCATAAGAAAAATGCTCTGCTCTCGACCTTCAGATCGCCTAACAGCTCACGAAGTACTTTGTACGTCATCTGTTTCATGATAATCATGAATATGTTGTTTGCGATAAATTATCACTATCTCAAATCTTGAGCACCAACTTTTAACAAGGCACAAATGCTCTTATTTTGGTGAACATTTTCATCAATTTATATTGTGTTGCATAAATTGACAACTTATTTTGCATCTGTGTTCCATTGACCTTTCTCTGATCTTGTCCAAATTATCTATTCTTATGAGTGAATTTAACTTAACTAACCATGAGCCAAGCATATTGCACAAGAGATTAATTATTATCTGCAAACATGTATAATGTGGAAAAGCCTGCAAACCTAACTGAAAATATTGTTTAATGATAATGCTTTGAAGTACTCTCATTCTTAGGTCACCCGTGGATATGTGAAAATGGTGTTGCTCCAGACCAAGCACTGGATCCAGCTGTACTCTCTCGGCTTAAACAATTCTCAGCAATGAATAAGTTGAAGAAGATGGCTTTAAGAGTAAGTCCATATATTCTTCTGAGTAAGAAGTTCTGACAGATATTCGTGAATCAACTCATATATTGTTTAAAAAGTTTTATCCAATGTGAACTAAGGTTCATTTTCAATAATTTGTTGTTTTTCATTATAGTTTTACTGGATTTATCGTCTTCATGCATATATAATCAACCCACTTTACTTCCATACAAAACAGAGAGTTTTCTGTTTTGCTGAAATACTTGAATAAGAATTTATTTGCATGTTTTCACATAATTGTTTAGTCACCTTCGCAAAATCATTAGTTGAGTTGGGGAGATAAGTATGGCACAGTGTATCTATTATATTTTTAATGACTATTGACATAAACCATTTTGCTGGCTTAAACTGGTATCATGAGATTATGTTAATTACAAGATTTCTGTAGCCATGAAGTGACTTACAGCCGCATCCTGCATTCTGAGTGTATTATGACACTACTTGTGGACAATTTGTCAGAGTCTCTTTTTCATGTGTTGATGAACCAACCTCTGTTAGTTAAAAAAGAAAAAAACTGCTCTCAATCATGGTGCTGCAAACTTTTGACTATTTTCTGGTATTTTTTATTGATTACTTAAGGAACTGAGTGGACATACAATTCTTACTGTTCCCTCAGTTATTACTAGAGACTATTGTCACTAGATTTGGTATTTGAGCATTGATTTAGTTACCATGGTATTATCAAGAGTACTAATCTTATCGTACCACTCTTCTCAAGTACTGGTTGAGTATCTCCTATCATGCCATGGGTGTACACAGTTTGCAATATGATTGGCTAGACCCATATCATCCAACTGGTACATGCCAGTGTTCCCAACAACCAACACAGGATAAGTGCACCAAAAGGCAATTATTGATCATGAGTATGAATTTGATAATATCTATTAATTTTAAACATGTATGATCCTTTGTTAGTTTTTGAAGCCATCAATTTATTTTATTGCAATAAATATATTCTATAATCTCTGCCTCTTTTTTTTTTCTGGTTAGGGTTTATTAGTTCTTAGTTGAGAGATAGGAGATTAACTGATTGTGTTCCTTAACCGCAAGTGACAAGGGAAACTACAACTTCTCTTGTTCTTAATATACTTATGCTTGTATTGCATTTGATGTGTAATTGCATTGTCCATTCGCAAACTTTAGTTTAAGTAAGGTTCTTATTGAGAGTGTTCAATTTTTATAATTGTCCTCAAAATTCATCAAAGATCAATTATTTTTCAATGATATTCATTCTTATTGAAAATAAATGTCTCGTATTTTTCATAATTGTACCAGGTAATAGCTGAGAGCCTTTCAGAGGAGGAGATTGCTGGACTTAAAGAAATGTTCCAAGCAATGGATACCGACAGCAGTGGTGCAATCACGTTTGATGAGCTAAAAGAGGGTCTCAGACGATACGGTTCAAATTTGAAGGAATCTGAAATCCGTTCCCTCATGGATGCTGTAAGTGTATCATCTAGGCTTCTAAATTTCATCTATAGTTATATTAGATATGGAATTAAGAAAAGTAATTGTGGAAAGCAATTATTGGAATTATTAAGTTAAATTAAGTGTTCAAGTTAATAGATAGAACTAGTGATATAATTTAGTCTAAGATATATACGTAATAATTTTCGAAAGGGTGATGTAGTTTGAAGCAATTTTTCGAGTAGTGTTCAAAAGGGTGATTTACTGTACAAGGCTTCTACCAATATAAGGTATGGAGATAGGTCAATATATACAGCCTCATCTCATGCAAGCAAGGAGGTGGTTTTCATGACTCGGACCCTCTCCACCCGAGTTTCAAAAGAGCACCTTGCTAAGCTTGGTGTGCTACAAGACAATATGGTTTATTGGATTCCCAAGATAAGCCTGAACCTAATTTAAGCTTTGTGTGCTAGAAGACAATAACTTCAGCGTACTCAAAATCACAAAGCAGCCTGATGATGGTTTTGGGGTAGCCTGAGGACCTTTCCATGTTCAATAGGCAACATCCTTTTTTAAGTTGTTTTAGCATGCAATCGCTCAAGTTTACTAGTAATGCTGCATCTGAATTATTATGTCTTTTTAATGCTTTATTTAAAACTAAAAAAGATAGATACACGAACAGCAGAAGAAACAAATTCCTGACTTAGACTACAACTAATGATGCTTTTGTTGTTTCTGAATTCACCTAGCAATTTGATCTATCTGTGAACTAATGTACATTTTATTCACATTGATGGTTGTCATGGAAGGAGTTGATATATCTTCTGTAATTTGAATGACCAATTCATTTGAAATTTAGGCTGATGTGGACAACAGTGGCACCATTGATTACGGGGAATTTGTAGCCGCAACAATACATCTAAACAAACTAGAGCGTGAAGAGCATTTAGTGGCAGCATTTTCTTACTTTGACAAGGATGGAAGTGGTTATATTACAGTCGACGAACTTCAGCAAGCTTGTAAGGACCACAATATGACTGATGTTCAGATTGATGATATTATTAGAGAAGTTGATCAGGATAATGTAAGTAATTCTTCTTCAATCTCTCTAATAAAAGTACAGCTCCAAGTTGTGATATTAGTCTGAGTGCTGGAGTGCTATTCATGGTTAACAGCCAACAGATCGGGCACTTAATTTAATCTAGTTAGCAGAATGTTTTGTAGTTTGTCTTATTTTCCATTGATCATATGTTATACTTGACACATTAAGATTTAATTATGTTGCTTGTTTGACTTGCATTATTTGTGCTAGACATAAGATACTTTTGCTTATTGCTTCCTTTATCTCCCCCTTTCGCATGACCAATAAGATCATTTTATTGGATCTTCTCATAAGTTACCATTATAATGTTGTTTGCCACCTGGAAATTGGTAGCAGATCTCTCAATATCAGGACATTTTTGTTGTTACCAAGATATAGTTGATCTGTTTGGAGATGAGCTCTGTTTTAACCATCTGCATATGCTAACCCTGGCTCATGACTAAGCAACAGGATGGAGAATTTCTTTTTCTTTTTTTTTCTTAAAATCTCTTACTATATTAGATTTATGCATGAGTTCTATATGCTTTGTGCATTGTGGGTTTTCCATAGTCAAAACTCATTATGCCATCTCTTTGAAGGTTATCGAATTTTGATCGAGCGGCTTAATTTGACAGTTCCTTTACTTGTATCTTAATCTTCTAGACTAGAAAAAATTACATTACTTCTAAGAACTCAACGATACTGATTTCATGTCTCAGGATGGTCGTATCGACTATGGTGAGTTTGTTGCTATGATGCAAAAGGGAAACATGGGGCACGGAAGAATAACCATGCAGAGAATGCGGAATAGTTTGAATATTAGCATGAAAGATGCACCAGGAGCTCACTGATTTCAAACCGCATGCATTACAGGTTCTGTAAATTTGAACTTCTTTTTTTGTACTACGAAATGAACGTGAAAAAAAGACAACAAAGAAGATTGTGGTATTCATTTACTGCTGTAAATCGAGTGAAAATGAGAGATGAGCAACACTAAACTTGAACGTTCAGAGGTAATCATCAAATTCCTAAGCTGTACCATATTCAGGATTTTGTATAAATCAAATTATTTTCATTTCAGTTTTAGCTTCGCGTGATCTGATTCAGGCACATTCTGACATCGTAAGGCTTGTGTGAGAAAAGAGATGAATAATGCAATCCACCAATATACGCGACAATCCTTTTTCTTCTTCTTCTTCTTCTTCTTCTTCTTCTTCTTCTTCTTCTTCTATATATATATTTATATATTGGGGGTGCAAATTGGAAAGGTAATCAATCATATATTACCTCCATATTCTGATGCATTTTACTGGATCATTAGGCAAAGCAGAAGATGGTCACCAGTCTCAGCCAATTCTTGTGTCTTTCTGTGCGTGTTTAGTATTCACTTGGCATTTCTTCTGGTGTTGGTGTTGTACTTCTGGCGGTGTTGTGCAATGTGTGTGCTCTGTTTGGAGTTTCAGTATCAATCTCACAGTAGTGTGACAGAGTCAGAATGTTGGTGAACTGATGACGGATGAGTCAACACGGCTCAGTCTACATATCGATGTCGGGGGTTTGCGATCGGTTGGGCAAGGCGTCGAGGGTGGCTTCATCCGCAAGTCGGGGTGCCGACGTCGTCTGAGGGGAGGCGCTTCTCGGTCGGGGCACTGGCGTCGTCTTCGGGGAGGGCGTCTTTCGGTCGGGGTAGTCGCACTTCTGAGGGTGGCAGCGCTCCTGCACAGAAGGCCCTCGTCGGGAAGTTCCCGATTTTGGCCCCTCGATGACTAAGTTAGTGATTGATTCTCCTTTTTTTTCTCTCCCCTAGCCAGATGTCGGTCAGGGGCTTTTATACTACTATGCGAAGACTGGTCATACACGGGTTTGGCGCAGTAATCGATCCCCGAGGGGTGAGGTGGTATCTTTGTACAGTCGTCATCTCGGAATGCGTGGAATGGCACCAAGCGGTATCGTCCCGAGCTTTCCGGGACGGGATGTACCAAGGGGTGCCTCGGCATGGCTTCTGACTTGGCATGCGGGGGTCCCCCCTCGTGCCGATGTGACAAGGGCGCGGGTGGCGACGTGACTGGAGTCCAAAATATACCTTATCACTTCTCCCCCTACCCCCCAACACCCTCCCCCCCCCCACCGAGACGTGCCACAAGATCCTTGCAAGAGGGCGAGGGGCGCGCTTGGCTTGTAGGAGTGCTGCGTATAGATCAATCGCTTGCGAGGGGCGGCCGGGTTGATTTGATGTTGGGTGGAGACTGGACCTGCTGGTCGAGCGACTGACCTCGACCATAGGTTCGGGACTTACGAGTCACTGGTCGGGGGATCGAACTACACGACTCAGGTAAAGACTGAACCTAATGGTTGAGCGATTGACTTCGGGCCTAGGTTTGGGACAAGCAAGTCACTGGTCGGGGTACCGAACTGCGCGACTTGGGCAAAGACTAAACCTATTGGCCGAGCGATTGACCTCAGGCCCAGGTTTGGGACTGACGAGTCGTTGGTTGGGGAATCGAACTACGCGACTTGGGCAAAGACTGAACCTGTTAGCCGAGCGATTGACCTCAGGCCCAGGTTTGGGACTGACGAGTCGCTAGTCAGGGAACCGAACTGTGCGACTCGGACAAAGACTGAATCTATTGGTCGAGCGATTGACCTCGGACCCAGGTTTGGGACTAACGAGTCACTGGTCGGGGGATCGAACTGGGCGACTTGGGCAAAGGCTGAACCTGTTGGCCGAGCGATTGATCTCGGGCCCAGGTTTGGGATTGATAAGTCATTGGTTGGGGAACCGAACTGCACAACTCGGACAAAGACTGAACCTGTTGGCCAAGCGATTGACCTCGGGTCCAAGTTTGGGACTGTCGGGTCGATGGTCAGTGGACCAAGCTGCGCGACTCGAACAAAGAACGAACTTGTTGGTCAAGCGATTAGCCTCGGGTCCAAGTTTGAGACTGTCAAGTCATTGGTTAGGGGACCAAACTGTGTGACTCAGACAAAGGCTGAACTGGTTGGCCGGGGGACCGAGCTGTGTGACTCGAGCAAAGACTAAACCTGTTGGCTGAGCGATTGAACTCAGGCTCAGGTTTGAGGCTGACGAGTCATTGGTCGGGGGACTGAACTGCGTGACTCGAGCAAAGATTGAACCTGTTGGCCGAGCGACTGAACTCAGGCTCAAGTTTGGGACTTACGAGTCACTGGTCGGGGGACTAAGTTGCGTGACTCGGGTATAGACTAAACATGTTGGTCGGGCGACTGAACTTGGGCTCAGGTTTGAGACTGACGAGTCACTAGTCGGGGGACCGAACTATGTGACTTTGGCAAAGACTAAACCTGTTAGCCGAGCGATTGACCTCAGGCCCAGGTTTAGGATTGACGAGTCACTGGTCGGGGGATCGAACTGTGCGACTTGGGCAAATACTGAACCTGTTGGCCGAGCGGTTGATCTCAGGCCTAGGTTTGGGATCAATGAGTCGTTGGTCGGGGAATCAAACTGCGCGACTCAAACAAAGACTGAACCTGTTGGCCGAGCGATTAACCTCGGACCCAGGTTTGGGACTGACTAGTCATTGGTCAGGGAATCAAACTATGCGACTCGGACAAAGACTGAACCTATTGGCTGAGCGATTGAACTTGAGACCAGGTTTGGGATTAAGGAGTCGTTGATCAGGGAATCGAACTGTGTGACTCGGACAAAGACTGAACCTGTTGACCAAGCGATTGGCCTAAAGTCCAGGTTTGGGACTGTCGAGTCGTTGGTCGGGGGACCGAGCTGCGCGACTCGGACAAAGACTGAACCTG